TATATTTGTGCATCCATCAGCTTTGGTTAATTTTCCTCGATAAATTTAATAAGCTCTAAAGCATCCTAGCATATTTCACGTACGATCTCTTGAGCAAGGGCATGCAGGTTGTCCCTGTAGAGTGTTGGTAGTCCCATAGACGTGAGGTATTTTCCACCAATGGAGTGCAGTTTGCCCTCAAGGAGGATGAAGGCCAGTTTGAAGATGACATCAGAAAAGTTGACGTGAGGTTTGTATTTTCTTATTGAGCTCCGTGGAGGGTGTCTTCACTCATGCCCTCTTTGTATTTTTGCCAGAGTCCCATGGGGTTAGATGGGCTGCAAACTTGAAGATTTATGCAGAAGAGCAATGTCAGTTGGAAACGGGATTGACTAACAGAATCTTCTGTCATAGCTTTATGAAGATGGTGATCATCTACAAGAATTGCACGAAGATTACAAGCTTCCCTGTATGTTTGACAGACAACTCCTTCCACTATATTCTTGGTTCTTTCAGTAAAGTCATTTATGTTATTGTTTCCCTTCAACGTGACTTTACCAAAAGAACCAAGAATATGAATCACTGCAGTCACGAAAGCTTTAAATCAAAACTCCTTCCACTGTTTATAGGTTTTGGAAAGATTTGGGTCCTTTGGCAACATGGAGAAGCATTGGGAGAACGTAGCACTGCTGATTGTTGGGATTAACTGTGTAGATTCTTCCTAAGGCATCAGATTCACCGTCGGCAGCACGTCGCTTCCATTTTTTTTAGCAGTCCATGTATAGTAGGAGGGAACTTAATGGTAGAACAGGTTGGCAGCAAATGGGTCACTTGGGCACAAAACAAAGAACGCCATCAGGGTGGTATCTTGTGGAGCCAGGGCCTGTTTTTGGGCATTTCCTTTGGTGAAGTAGATGCGTTGACCATTTTGGAGGTGAACTGACAAATGGACGATTGTGGGGGAATGGTCATGGATGGGGAAACCAAGCATCCTCCAAATGGCCTCATTGTTGCTGATGTATCTTCCTTGAAAAAAAAGTTTAACCTCCTGCACACTTTGCCCCTCTATTTTGAAAGACAAAGACAGCCATATCAGAGCCTTTGTTGATGTATTGGCAAACATATTTGATGGCTTTTGCAGAATAGCTGAATTTCACATTAAAGTGGGCCTGGAAAATTTTGCACAGAAGAGGGCAGTAGGGAATGATCCACCCAGTTGTCAACCTTAATTTCAGAGTTAGTGGCAGGTCTGAGCGTTGTTTGAAATCCACCATGCTCAGTATTTCTGTGACGATACAGAGGATAGCCTTCATGGGCCGACTGAGTGTCTTTCAAGTAGTTTCATGGATATCTCTTGGTACACCTGTGGTATTGCATACATGGCGCATTTGGATAAAACTGGCCACATGGGCCATGGACCATTTGGTTGCAGACCACAGAAAAAGGGCAGGGTCTTGATGTGGGTCAGGTAGCTCAGCACTGATAAATGTGTCAATGTGACTTGCATGAACTGTTTCCCCCATCCAAAGCGAAATGTGAATATGAGGAAGACGACGTTTTTGCCATCGAATGGTGTGCAAGTTACTGCTTGTCTATCCAAAGATTCCGCCTTCGTTGGTCGTAATAAGCATAATGAGGTCATCAACTTTGAGTTTAAATACCCTCGCTAAGACATCATGTCTGTCTGGTGGCTTTTGGTTTGGATAAAGGTAAACCTGGATCTCCTTTAATTTAGAATTGCAAGTGAAGGTGATAAAGAGATGGGTTCTGCCATATTGGCTGATGTACGTCATGGCACCCTGAGTCTTCTCATGCATGTATCTTAGTTTTGCTGTGAAGGATGAAGGCAAAATAACTAATCTGTCCACATTCTGAGCATTTGCATATCCGTCGGCATTGATGGCGTCCCAGAGATGAGCATACTGTTCACACGCAGGCGGTTTTGATTCAGTTAAATGTAAAGAAGGCGCTCACTCTCAATGTTGGCATACTCATCCACAACATACTGGTGAAAGAGGTTGGTGCACCATAATATGTGGTTTCCGCCTCTGTCCATGATCACGAAGGAATAGAAGTTTTTTTAGAGGAGACAGTTTTGTGAGGATGTCTTTGTCCTGCAGCTTTGTAATTGGAGGAATCTTGACGTGGTACCCATCTTGGCCTTGTGACAGTAAACTGTGTTATTGTAGGGCATTGTATGCTCTGTTTGTCTCGTGAAATCGTGCGATGGTATTTTCTTGGTATGGAAGACCAATGTCTCTCTCACAATGTTCCTCACCCACTGTAAGAACAGCAACGTCAATAATATTTGGGGCATTGAACCTCCCTGTGTGCTCTCCGCTTTGGTGGAAAGAAAAGGTGCGGTACGGCAAAATGTAAATGGTTGATGTTCCCACCAATGTAACAAAACGATAGACAAAATGTAATAGGCTGTAGCTAAGAAAGACCAAAGTATTTAGCAGTATAACATAGTAATCAGCATTGCAGTACTACATATCAGTAAATAGCATGACATGAGAAATCGAAACAATAGAAATGCATTGAAGAAATAAGCAGTACGCACAGGTAAGTTGAGAAGCAGGCTACAGTCTAGATTATAGACTGCCAGTATGCTGACCCAATGACATAAGCATTGCTACAGTCAACATAATAAGCTGGCAATACGGTCAGCAGCTGAAAAAGCAGGATACAGTCTACATGAAAGGCTGGCAGTACACTGAGTGAGGTAAAGAAGCAGGCAACAGATTATAGACTGGCACACATAATGCCCAAGAAGCAAAATTAGTAGTGTAGCTAAAAGAGTGGCAGTGCACTGACCTTAATTAATCAGCAGGTAGCAGCCTACAGCACAGACTGGCAGTACACTGGCGCAGCTTAATAAAAACACCTAAATAAGTAAATATTTAGCAACCTAATATTGAAATATTAGTTGTCTGCACACAAACATTATTATTGTAATATTTGCTCATTTATTTGTTTCATAATAGTAAACAATTAACGTGAGTTCTTAGCGAAAGAAGCAATAATAATTGTACTTTACATTATCGTGTTGAGGCCTAGACCCGTGCAGAGCCCGCGGCCTTGGCCAGCCGCCGGAAGTGGCACCTTGCCAGGCTGGGGGCTGGGCCGCTCCCCCCACCTGCGCTGCAATAATGCTATCTAAGCGTTATAATATGAATATCTACTGACTTTATAGCAGTAACTGCACACATTGGGGTGGGGGGGGGGACATAACACTGTGAAGAATGAGCCTCAGCGTCGTGTGTATTTTTTAAGCATTTTTAACGCGAATGAATTTTTATTTGCGATTGTGTGCACGTTGCTAGGGGCAACGCCTGTCAGCGTTTCGCGCATGGGCAATTGCGTGCTTTGTCCCGCGCCGGGCGGTAAAAGAAAGTAAATAAATAACAATAAATCACACTAAATCACTAATTAAACTAATTTGAAGGTGACGGACGTGAAAAAGGAATAGCGCTTGCCAACCTCGGGGCTTACGGCGTGGTACCTGGCACATTTTTTTTAACATAAACCCCACCGTTTGAGAGCCAAATCCCTCGCAAGCACATAAACACACAGACAGACGGACAGACAGACAAAGAATGACGTTTATAGGTAAGACTAGCGGTAAGTACCCAGCGTTGCCCGGGTCAAAAAAATATTTTATAACTACTCTTAAAAAACCTTACATATACATACACAGATACTAAGATATTGTGAAAGCCCGGTGGGCCATTTGTCCATTTCACCACCAACAAAATTATAAGAGGCTTGTAAAAGTCCAAAAAGTTATAGAAAGTGTGGGGTAAATAGTTAATCTAAAAGGTTTCCGAAAATTGTGGACACCCCCCCCCCCCCTCAAAAAAATATTTACCCCCGCGTAGGTATCTATACCTACACACCCTACATACAACAGAGTAAGTAGTATCTCTTGACTGTAGTTGTATCTACTGACTGTACAGTAGTATCTACTGAGCCAGTAGTAGCTCCTGACTGTGTTAGTAGTATTTGCTGATTGTAGCAGTAACTACTGACCGTAGTAGTATTTACTGGGCCTACAGTAATATCTACCGACTCAATAGTAGTAACGACTAACTGTATAGTAGTATCTGCTGAATCTATAGTAGTATCCAATGACTATAGTAGTAACTACTAACTCTATAGCAGTATATACTCACTCTATAGTAGTATCTACTGACTCCAGAAGCTACTCACTGTAGTAGTATGTACTGACTGTATAGTAGTATACACTGACTGTAGCAGTATTGACTGACTGTAGTGGTATATAATGACTGTTTTAGTATCTTCTAACTCTATATAGTAGTATCCACCAACTCAATAGCAGTATCTACTGTCACTACAGCAGTGCATACCAACTGAGGTGGTACCTGCTATGATTACATCAGTGCATACTGTGGTGGAACCTGCTATGATTACAGCAGTGCATACTGACTGTGGTGGTACCTGCTATTACAGCAGTGCATACTGCTGTGGTGGTACCTGCTATGATTACAGCAGTGCATACTGTGGTGGTAAGTGCTATGATTACAGCAGTGCATACTGTGGTGGTACTTGCTATGGCTACAGAGTGCATACTGACCGTGGTGGTACCTGCTATGATAGCAGTGCATCATTACTGTGGTGGTACCTACTATGATTACAGCAGTCCATACTGTGGTGATACCTACTTTAACAACAGCAATGCATACTGACAGTGGTGGTATCCTGCTATGACTATAGCATTGCATGCTGACTGTGGTGGTATCCTGCTATGACTACAAAACTGCATACTGACCGTGGTGGTATCCTGCTATGACTACAGCATTGCATACTGACTGTGGTGGTACCTGCTATGACTATGGCATTGCATTCTGACTGTGGTGATATCCTGCTATGATTACAGCATTGCATGCTGACTGTGGTGGTATCCTGCTATGACTACAGCAGTGCATGCTGACCGTGGTGGTTCCTGTTATGATTACAGCTTGACCGGCGCGCTTGACCGGCGTGCTTAACTGATGCAGATGTTCAGCTACCTGGTGGAGAGAAGGAAAAAGGTGTACTGGACCATGGGTACCATCTCCTATACCGTGTACGACCTGCGCGAGATCGACACATGGGGAGACCAGCGCTCAGTCCTCGACATAATCACCTCCAGCTCTAAGAAGAAGGTTCGCAGACACTCAGTAGAGGTCATCTAGAGACCCCCTCCACTACCTAGTAGAGGTCATCCAGAGCCACCCTCCACTATCCAGTGGAGGTCATCCAGAGACCCACTCCACTACCTAGTAGAGGTCATCCAGAGACCCCTTCCACTACCCAGTAGAGGTCAGCCAGAGACCCCTCCACTACCTAGTAGAGGTCATCCAGAGACACCCTCCACTCCTCAGTAGAGGTAATCCAGAGACACCCTCCACTACCCAATAGAGGTCATCCAAAGACCCCCTCCACTCCCTAGTAGATGTGTCGCGCTACGTTCTGTGATGAGAATTGACGTTGCCACAGTAGTTCATGTTTTTGCACTTTAAAATCTAGATTGAAAACTCATTTTATTTAGAATAGATTTTTTCGTGTCAAATTGGCACGGTTGGCTACATACGGTGCCAAAGAAGCTCAACATGCATACGTACATACATACCCGCTGAGCATGGAGATGTGAAAAGCGCAAAAATCTTTTGTTTAAAACGTCGCTTCGTCGCAGGTGCAGAGCATGATTGACCTGCGGCCCGTGAAGGACCTGCTCAACCACAAGTGGAACTCCTTTGGCTTCAACTACTTCCTCATCTGGATGTTCTCCTACATGTTCTATGTCATGGTGTTCACCATCTGCTGCCTCTACCGACCCTTGAAGCTCATCCCGCCAGAGTTGTCCGACAACATCACCATCATGGCCCTCAAGGAGATGCACGTGAGTCTTCGCGGGCACAGCCTGCACCGACATCTCCGCCGATTATATGCCCCTCTCTTTAGATGAACGAAGAACGCGGGCGCCCCAGTGATGTAACACGAGCGCGTGCCACTTAAGGTAAACGTATCGAGGGGGCAAACGGGCGTCTCCTGATAATCATTTGCTTGTGCCGAAGAGCGCCTGTGTAGAGGATGGTGACACAGCCAAGGCGGGGAGTTGTAGACCCTTCATGAAACCCACAAATCAAACTTTGCTTCTACAGTAGAGTCTCGCTTATCCGCACTAATGACGGTGAGGGCGCCAGCGGGATAATTCAAAATCGTGGATAATCCCAAAATATCCATTTTCCTCGGACTTCTATGCCAAAGCGACTCATATAGTTGTAAATTATGTTTAAGTTTCTCTGCCATAGCACAGTTTCATAAATTAAAACTCATAAAATATATGATTGCATAAATCACTCAAAATTAAGCAAAAATTAAGCGCAACTGACGATTTTTATTGTTACTCTTTCGATTTAGAATGAATACTTATGATCGACCGATCGATGCGCGTGCTCAGTGATAATAACACTTTCCTGCTCTCGCTCAGCAGGAGACTCAGCCCACTAAGTGGATGATAGCAGAGCCACACCAATCAACATCAATCAAACTCCACTGCACTGTTGCAAAGATATGCAACTACTGTACTGTAGAAGTGATCTCACATGGATTTCAGATTAACCGGAGCAACATATTTATTTGTTATTAGCACGTGCCTTGTAATAAACATTTCCAAGAATAACAATCTATAACTTTTTCTAGATTATTAATTTGACCTGAAGGGAAAATCCAGGTGTGCAGTTAATCTGCAAATCGGATAAACCGCGCGTAGATTATCGAGAGTCTATTGTATATTTTTTTCTAGTGACGCAGATGCTACAACAAACATGACGAGCCAGTCGCCCAAGGGAGCCAGCATTATGCCCTTTGATTTCCAGGCCACTATTTCTAGGCTCTATTTTAAGCAGCAGATTTGTGCCAGAATATTACCACGTGTACGTAAACAAAAACGATGTTGACTTTACTTCAGCAGGCATGATCGATCTACCGCTGGCTGAAGGCCTCAGCAAAGCAACAGCGCCATCTCCTACTGTCTCAAGGACGAAACGATCCAACATTGGTTGATAACGCCACTCCATTTCCGTAGTCGACGTGCTCCCTGGCGTGTTCCCTCGTTTTGCTGCCAGAGAGGACGGCATGGCTAAATCCATTAATGCGCTCGTCATCAATGCCAAACGGGACTGAACTCCGGCATCTGTGAATTATGACTGCACAGCCCGCATGGCCCACGTGTCGTCGGGAGGCCCTCATCCAGCGGTGGCAGTGACAACGCACCGTGCGTGGACGCCCCAATGTCAACTGCACACCGTACCAAACACAGTTCGGTACGGCGCAGTCTGGGCAAAAGTATGCGTGTACGACTAGCACGGCTGGCTTCGTACGGCTACGCATAGCGCGAAAGAAGTTTGACATACATAGGTGCTCGCTAACGGTACTTGTGTCTACGGTCCGCGTGGGATACACAGGGGCTCTTTGTTTTTGGTGCTGTATGTATGTTGAACTTCTTTCGAACCATACGTAGCCAACCGTGCTCATCGGAGGTACGGAGTGACTTATGCGGCTCTGTGCTGCTGCTGATGGTGGCGATGTGTTGCGTGGTGGCCCTGTGCAGGAGGCCTACTCCACCAAGGAGGACTTCGTGCGCCTGCTCGGGGAGATCATAACAGTGATGGGGGCGGCCGTCATCCTCTACCTGGAGGTCAACAGCTGCAACCCCTCGTCCGAGTTCACAACCTCTCGGGCAGTGTTCTTCATTTGCAAGGCCACCGCGGGCCACTGGCGCAAGCCCCCGGTGGCCTTTAGTGTGGCCCCTGATGTGTGGCCCCCCCGGAAATACACAAAATGTGAAAACACCCCCATTATCATCATTGTGCTATCAAAACCCCAATGGTTTCAAATGTGTGGCGGCCCTCACACTGATGTTTTATTGGCGAAAGTGCCTCCCTCTGAAAATGGGTGAAGAGCACTGCTCTAGTAATGGCACTTGTGTCGAGCAGGTACAACTAATATTTGTTGTTTACCAGGTAAGGCCCACCCTGTGGGCTGCAGACCCCCGGTGGTCCACGAGGCTACTGCAATGGGGTGCGGAAAATGTAAATAATAACATCCTCACCGAGGGAAAATGTACAATTTTAAAGAGCTTGGGTATGTCCAGGAAAGGGAGGTTTGAGACCTAGCTTGGGCACGTGGCAGTGCCATCGAAATGTTTGGAGGTTGCAAAGGGGTCCGCACGCTCGAAAAAGTTTGTGAACCGTTGCTCTTCACCGGGGGGTTGGCAACCTGCGGCTCTTTAACGGTTGATTTGTGACTTTTTTATGAAGGACCACCATCTCGTTCGTATTCACCACAGTGCATTGGCGCTCTTGAAATATTGAGTCTTTTTTTTACCGAGCTCGAAAAAAAAAGTCTCTTGTCATTTCGGTTGCCGACCCCTGCTCTAGACGACCCATGCTCATTACAAGGACTCGTTCTGAGACCTTTCCAATCAAAGGGAGGCTTGCGGCCGAGCATGAGTATGTTGAGGAAGGGAGTGATAGCAGCAGCGGCAGCAGCAGCCATGAGAGCAAAGGGAACGCTCCTGGGCAAGACGAGGGATGAGTTTGAGGTTCAAGGATGCACAGAGGTCGGAGATGATCATAGCGATTTTTCTCTGCTGCTTATGGAGACAGGCTGAGGGATGGGAGGACAGAAGCAAGGGGCGATAGCACGAGCAGACAGAACGCCAGCGGCTCCTGGCGAGTTATTCGACCGTATCGGAGACAGGTAGGAGGTGAGCTGTCTACCCTTGGCAACTGACGGGGTCGTGGAGGACGCCTGTGTGTGGTGGGGGGCGGCGGCACGGCTGCATGGGAGGGGGGCGGGAGAGAGTGGCAGAGCCATTACTGTGAGCGCTGGAAGCCGGATTTCGGCTTCACATTACGAACTCTCAAAGCCGAAGCGAGTTCCCGCTCAAGTGAGCATAGAGGCATCGGTGTTCATCTATTTACAGCCCTGAGCCAGCGATGGAAATTCCACGTTGCTGTGGGGCGCGGGTGAGTCTTCCCCACAAAGTTGTACCTATTTTTTTAATCAAATCTGGTGGGATGATGATTGGCTGAACATCAACCTTTATTTATGTATCTCATCAGATTAATAATGAAAGCAAAATCATCAGAACGTGTCTTATTCACGATGGCCTGCGCCTCCATCATTGTGTAGTGTTGTGGATTCAGGAGACGTCTGAGTCGGTTCTTGGAGGCAACACTATTTATTAAACCACCTCGCTCAGCAGTACAGTCCGAGTACACTCAGGGTTACTGTCCTCCTACACCTACTGTCTGCCTCCGGGCTAACGTGCCCTAACACAGGACTACACTCAGGGTCCTCCGGCTATGGGTGCCTAGGGGGAGGCTATTCTAACTCGCCCTAGCCAGGGTGCGAGTTCCGACCACTGACCCACTGGACCCGGCCCTTACAAGGACGTCGGGCCAGGGGTTCCCCGGGTCTCACCGCTGAGCCGCACAGAGTCCCGGCCCTGATAAGGACAGCGGGGCTAGGGGTTTCAGGGTCCTATCTAGCTGCTGATCTTCGGCTTCGGTCTTCAACTGGTCCAGATTGGCTGGGGAGGTCCCCTTTTATGCCCCTTGCCCATTGAGGGGTGGGGCTGCGTGGGATCACAGAACCCCCGCAGCCCCACCTCCCCGTTGGAGGCGCCGAGGGGCTTAGCTGTCTGGGGATCCTGTGCCACCAGCAACCCCTACCCTCTTGGGCTGGCACTGCAGCCCCTCCCCTGGCGGTACGAGGTACCGTTCCATCTATGGCGCTACAATTGTATGCACATTGAACTTCGTTCGCACCATACGTATACACAGATCGTATACCAATTAGAGAGATGATGATGACGACGACGATGATGATGATGCTGTAGTTACTTGCATGGGAGCAGAGCTCGGCGTGCCGGTATCACGCGACTCGGGACTTCTCCAGGTGTGGTCGACGTGAGCCCCAAGGAACGTAACCCCCGTCCTATTGCCGCTCTTGCACGGCAAAGGTCATCGAGGCAGAGAGGCGTCACGCGGTCCGAATTTGAGCATCTGTTTGTGGGAGAAGGGAAAGGACACCGATGATGATGATGACAAGTGCATATCTGTCAACCCATACAGTTTACCCATATTCTTGTACAGAGAAATTGCATTTTCAGGTCCATACAGCGTACAGACGTTGCAATATGGGTAACAACAAAAATTGTAGGATGAATGTTGAGATTTATAAGGGCACTGGGTGACTAATAAGGTCTGAATTGGTCTGTAATAAGGTAGGCACTGAGAAGGGGTTGACAGGTTTTTAAGTGTACCGTAGTAATCAACACAAAACAATGACAAGGTCGTCGTGGGTTCGATCCCGACCCTGCCACCTGTATATTTGGAGTTTACATGTTCTCCTGTGGTAGTGTGGGTTTTTCTGCGGGTCCTCTGGTTTTTCCCTCAATATTTAGAATCGACATGCTTTTAGAGTATTTGGCTGCTATACATTTCCACATGATGAGCCACTTCATTGAGCTATCATTCGTGGCTAGGTTGCTTCTGAAAAAGAGCCTATATAGCTCAATGGGCATTACCTGGTAAAAAATAGTTTCAATTGTTTAGTTTAGAACTCTAAAATCCCCAAGGAATCGTTAGCCTAGCTGTCTGAATTAACACAACATTTGAATGCGCTTCAAGGTGCCTTGGAATTAAGGGAGGGGGCATTGTTATTCGAACATAATATCCCACATATCCTGCCTGCAATTGTGACCACGGGTGAGGCTGTCCCACGGACTGATGTCGTTTTATGTTGCGTGCGAATTCAGGTGCCGTACATCATTAAAATCGGGCCCAAGAATTACTGCAAAAACACAGTGATCGGAGGACCCTTCCCAGTGCTCATGTGAGTTGCTGCCACACGCAAAGACAACAGGGCTTGTGAAATAAAAACCGATGTGGTAACAGCGCTGTGAGAATTTGGTCAGTCAAAACTCCATGAAGAGGATGAACCGGCGTGTGTTCTTGGCGAATCTGAAGATCTGCGCAGTGCTCCGAGATGACGTGAGATGAAACGTAGCATCTATGCAGAGCTTCCCACGGCCGCACTGCTCAGATGAAACACGACCAGATCACCGCTCCCTTTGAGCATAAACCATGACGCAAACTCCGGTCATCCTCACATTCGTTTTTTGGCTAACCATCGGACAAAGTCGGTCACCGCATCGCGCACTTTTAGATGCACTTCCGCAGTCGTCTGGAACGCTTTTCCTTCCGACATTAAGAAGCCACTGGAACTATTAATTTTCTTTATCATCTCGATTAACGAACTCGTTTCTTTAGAACTGCTTTTTGTGTTTAGTTTGTTGTTCTCTTCCTATGCACCTCCGATTAGCACGGTTGGTTACGTATGATTGCGAAAGACGTTCAACATACATACACATACGTATACATTTGAGATGTCCCCCGATTGAGCATATCTAACATCGCTAATATAATAATGACAATAATAGTATATAATTAACTGCCCTTTGTCAATCCACTGCGAATTGAATGCCTCCTCAGGCCTTGTCGGTTGTGGGGGTTGTTTGCCTGTTCCTCACCACTCCTGGTCTGCTTGCGTCAGCGGTACTGAGTGCCAGGTTTTTGTTCTAAACCCATAGTCCGTACTGTGTCGGTTGTCATGGCGACTCAACGTCACGAGTGCTGTCCTGCCATGAGCAGTGGTGGATATTCCATGTTCTTATGATGGGGGCAAGTCTACCAATACGACGCCCACTGTTCACTTTTCCGACAATGCGATTTATTTATTTTATTCCATTTATATTTCACCAGGTAAGGCCCACTGAGCTATGTAGCTCTTTTTCAGAAACGACCTGGCCACATACAATGGCTCAACTCAGTGGCTTATCACCTGGAAATGTATATCAGGAGACAAATACTCGAAATGTATGTTGACTCTAAAGGTGGAGGGTAACACCGGAGGACCCGGAGAAAAATCCACGTGGCCACTACTTGGGAGATAAACATGCAAACTCCAAATATACAGCAGGAGTCAGGGGTTGGGTTTGAGCCCACGCCCTCCTGCATGCCAGGCGAGGTAGTTAATACCTATCCACTCTGAACATCTCCCAGACACTGTGGCACCGTGATTAATTTGAACACAATTATTGTGGGAAACGAGCAACTGCTGCACCTATAGCTACACTACAGGAAGAGTAGAGTTGAGGATATAATGAACGGAAATAAGACTGGGGAATAAGAGGAAAAGGAGGGCAAAGGAATATAAAAATAGGAGGAATGGGTCTGGAGAGATAAGGATCGGGAGGAAGAGGCTACACAAGGGCCTCGACGCTGCTGCATGGAGCGGGGTCTGTTTTCACGGGGCGGCGGGGAGAGGGGAGGGATTAAGAGTGGAGGTGGCCACACAGAAGTCACTGGCACTAATATTAACAATATTTATTATAATTTTATTTGTATCTATATGGCGTCATGCATGCAAGCCGTGTCTCAAAACACTGCTGTAGATTGGTAAAGCAGAGGACACCACAGATGAGCGGGAATGCGGCCAGAACCGGTGCTACCAACGATTGCCTGAGAGCTCTACAGTTCTACATTGCCATGTCTGGCCGACTCCAAATATTCGGCTCCGTGTCCTCTGCATGTCACCGTGGCGGCCGTGTCCTCTCACCACGCAGGGTCTGCTACTCATGCCTGATCGCCATCATTGTGGTGCTGCGGGTGATGAGTCACGAAGGGGAATCGATCGCCATGTCCCTGGCGCTCGTACTCGGCTGGTGCAACACGCTGTACTTCGCCCGTGGCTTCGAGCTGCTGGGCCCCTTCTCTATCATGATCCAGAAGGTGCCGCCACCATCACCACCACCGCCGCGGCCAGCACCGCCTCCACTGCCACCACAGTTACCACCACCACTACCACCACCACCGTCAACACTGCCGCCACCCCCACCACTGCCGCCACAGCCGCCGCCACCAGTGCCACCGCCACCACGACCACCACCAGGGTTTCGCTTCCTTCTCTCGATGTTGTCCACGACGTGCGATGTCGTTACTTTGCCACGGGACACTCGTTCGTTCGGCCTTGTCGGGCAGATTCTGTTCTCATACATTCGGTCCGTCATCGGTGGTCGTCAATGTTATGCCACGAAGGCATTGACCCTCGCCATGGGCTAACGCGTCACGTCGTGCGAAGCGCAGTCTCTATACATGATAAACATTTTTTTATTTTACCAGGTAAGGCCCCACTGAGCTACGTAGCTCTTTTTCAGTAAGCGACCTGGCAATCAAATATGACAGCCCAACGAAGTGGCTCATTGTGTGGAAATTTGTAGCAGGAGCCGGATACTCTGCACGCGTAATGTTAATTCTAAATGTGGCGGGGAAAACCGGAGGACCCGGAGAAAAATCCACGCAACCACGGGGAGAGAGACACAAACTCCAAATATATGTAGGGGTGTTATGGGAAAGAAACAAAGTGTGGGAAGGTGAGGCACAACCACACCTTGGTGGCTACAACCATGTCCGCTATGGCCCCACCCTCAGTGGGGTATGGGTATAAAGGGCGGGGAGCCAGAGAGCTCGGGTCAGTGTGTTGGGGCCAAGAATGAAGAGCCAGTGAAGAAGGAAGGCCGGCTAGGAGAGACCCTAGGACTCCTGTGATGCTGCCCTTTTCAGGGCCGGCACGACAAGCCAGTGGTGCGGCCCCAGAGCCCCAGAGCCCCAGAGCCCCAGAGCCGAAGTCCTTTTAAGGGCCGGTCTGGTTGGTGGGGTGCCGAGATCTGTGTCTGACCAGGGCCAGATCAGATAGCCTCCTCTAGTGCCTATAGCTGGAGGTAATCGGGAGCCTAGGGCTTAGGCTAGATAGCCTAGGGGTATCCCTGAGTGTATACGGGTGAAGGGGCCGCTATCCCTGCCAGTGTGACCCCTTGTTCAATAAATAGTGCTGCCTCGACTCTACCGTCTCCGTGTCCTGGGAACCCACTACATATACAGCAGGCATCAGGGTCAAGATCGAACCCACGATCTCCTGCATACCAGACATGGTAGTTAACATGTCCTTTCCACCGTGACATCCCTCAACGGGCGTGTTCCTCCAGATTATATTCGGCGACCTCATGCGCTGGTGCTGCCTGCTGGTGATCTGCGTGTTCGGCTTCACCGCCGGTGAGTGCCCCCACCCCCCACCGCCCCCCGTGAGTCACCCAGCGCCCAGGTCGCCATTCCTTACTTGGCTCGTCGCCATCGACGGCGCAGAGGCGCCCAGGACGAGCTCCGTTCTCTACCAGCAGGAACCCGTCTCTCCGCCGGGAAGGGAAAAACAAAAATTGATGCTCATATTCCGCAAAGCGGTACCTATTTTATCGACCCCCCCAGAGGTGAGGACCGAATTGACCCCAGGCCGGGATGTGAACTCCCACCTTCACGATTGCGTGCCGAGCGCCCACAAGGAAGGATCTCACCAAGAAGACGCTACTACCATGAGTGTGGTCGATTTCACCTCCGGACGTTGCGATGGTCAATCATGAGGCACGTCCGCAGATTAAATCACTCCGGATGTAGAAGTATCTTCTCGACGACATCTTTCCTTGCCCGTAATCGTTTTAGATATTCAGCATAAATCCCAACCGCCATCGTGGGTGTTTGTTGTTTAGCATGAGGCAGGCCGGCCTTGGGAGCACTGTGCCAGAACAGTGCCTCATGCTGATCAGTGAGCGCGATGAGCTGCGGTGAGCCGTGGTGAGCTGGAGTGAGCTCCTCTAAGCTGCTGTGAGTGCGGTAAGCTGCTGTGAGCGTGGTGAGCTGCTGTGAGCTGCCCTGAGCTGCCGTGAGCACAGTAAGCTGTGGTGAGCCGCGTTGAAATGCCGTTGACTCGTTCCTAGGCTTCTACGTCGTCTTCCAGACGCTCGACTCCAGGGTCTACCCCAATTTCCAGAACTTCGCCGTGACCTTCTTCACGGCCATCGAGCTCATGATGGGACTCATCGAGTTGCCTGTGCCCTACGACCGGCACACGCCCTACATCATCTACGTCATCTTCATTTTCTACATGATCTTCGCATACCTGCTCATGTTGAACCTCCTCATCGCCACCATGGACGACACCTTCTGGCGAGTGGCTCACGAGCGCATGGAGACCTGGAAGATCCAGGTGATGCACGCGAGCACTCTGACCTCATCAGTTTATGTCGGTACAGCTATTGCTCGCTCGCTCATTCTCACGCTCGCCTGTCCCCATGCTCGCCCATCCCCACGCTCGCCCGTCCCACGCTCCCCCGTCCGGGATACAGATTAACGGCGCTCACCCGTGCCTAACAACGTGCGCACCGGTTCTGTTATTCACCGCTCCTCATTGGTCGAGGGGTCAGCACCGCGAGCGGACGGTGCGCTCTACGTAGTCGCCCACCAGACAGAGGACGCCCAATAGCGACGCAGCACACATGTTCCCTCCCTCGCCCCCCTCCCCTCTTGTACCGTGGACACTGGCAAATTGACGGCGACGGAGCGAATCCTGCGGTTGTGTTTTCAACGTCAGATTGCGGCGAGCACGCTGCTGTTGGAACGCCGCATACCCAGGTCCCTGCGCCACCGCTCCGGCGTGCCGGGGAATTTGCTCGGCTACAACAAAAACATCTGGTACCTCGGGTAAGCAAGCATAGCTCCCCACTCAGCTCACCTCGGGCATTTCCACACGTCGAGGTTTTTTCCAGTTTCGAGCGCAGGATGTAATTGGTGGTTCGCATGGCACTGCGGGCAGAGTCGGAGCCACCTCTGGCTCTGATGGGCATCGAGAAATTGGTGCTTATCTCCCCGCTTGCAGCCTCGAGCCAGTGGAGGAAAGAGGCGAGGCTTTCCATTGCACAACCGCTGGAAAGATGATGGGTTTCAAGGACGATGCATACATTATCGAGGAATATCTGCATTTTTTTTACTATGAGGATTTGTGGTTAATGCAGACTCGATGCCTTAATATAGTGTGCCTATTTGGTATTTAAACATTTAAACACTGCGTATATATACGTCAGAAAGGGTAAACCATGTTTTTTATCATTCAGTATCTTGATACTGGCAAAAAACTGTCCCATAGATACGAGGTTGGAATTAATGTTCATGGTACGTACGTAACGTGTATGTTTGGGGCGTTAGCTCTAGCTGTGGTGCATCTGCTGCTGCTTCCGCTGCTGGTCCTGCTGCTGCGTTTTGAGATGGCAGTGGATACCACGAGTGAGGACTGTCAGGAAGGCGTCACGAGTCAGGGGCCGCGTGCGGTGAGCGTTTTACCGCAGGGTCGAGGAGATCAAGGATAAGAAGGCGTCCGCTGGACAGGAGGCCAACTGGCGCAGGAAGAACAATGGCGGCGGCATGGACAACAAAGATGGGCCCAGCCACTGGGGGGAGGATGCCTTCAAAGAGATGGACTCCGACCTTAAAATGGTGGTGTGTCGCTGGGACACCGTCCGACAGAACCTGGCCAAGATCATCGTCATGAGTCGTCAGGACGAGACGGTGTTCTGAGCTCGGAGGCGCATTCGAGGGGTGTCCCACCGCATGTCACGGGATAGTCACTAAGTAGATGCGCTTCTGCGGCTTATAAGGAACGCTCTTCCATGCGCTATTAGGAAGCTACTGGGAACTATGCACTTTTCAATTATCTAGCTTGAAAACTAATTTCTTTAGAAATGCTTTTTGTGTTTTGTTTGTTGTCCTTCCCCCGCACCTCCGATTAACATAGTTGGCTACGTACAGTGCGAAAGAAGTTCAGCGTACATACATAAGCAGCTTTGTTTACGCTCAACGGGCATCGGTTTTCACGTAGGAATGCTGATGATATTCACCCATCCTCGCCCGTAGAATCACGCGGCACGTGCACAATCACTCGAGGTTTGTCTCGTTTAACCGGGGCCTGAACTCGAGGGAGGAGGATCGTCTCGTTTGCAAGAGGCCCCCGGGTCACCCAAATGGCAAAAGCAATAGGAGATAAAGTACAATGAGGCAAATAGGAATTTGAGCAATAACAGAATAGATTTGAAAAAAATACGCAAATATTTACAGAGATCCAAAACGTCACTCGGTTTCAAACGGAAGTGTGAGCAACGTAGATCGGGGCAGGGAGCGGTGGCGCTGTGGCGAGCGCCCTCCACCGTGAACCCATCCTCAGCTATGACTAATATTGGTGGCAAGTAAGGGCCCAGCCAGTCCTGGGCCTCCGCTTCACCGTCCTGCGATAACCAGCTTGGCAAAGTATAGTCAAAGAACTCCCCAGGGAGGAAACCCTCACCTAGCAGTGGGAGCGGCGGTCAATGTTACAGTTAATGCCACTTGCTTTGACGAAATCACAGCTGTCCCAAGTCGGTGTGGAGGAGTGGCTCCTGACCTCCGCTGGAGCCGTTGATCGCTGCCAGCCTTGAACAATTTATTAAGCGGGCCACCGTGCGACGACACGCGCACGTTGCCACGCGAAAGCCGTCGCCTCCGGTTCCGTGGGGCACTTCCCAACGCTGTGGCGCCGACCACGCGGCGATCAGAATGCAGGGTTGGCCTTAGTTGGCGTCCAGTGTGAACTTTGCATTTGGCCTCCTAGTTTTTTAGTGAAGGATAAAGGTTTCAGTGAAAGCTCGGTCTGCAGTTTTCACATTTTTTTATTGAATTCATAGGGCACGAACACAAACGTTAGAGAAACATTCAAAAGGAGATGCTCGGTGTCTCTTGGCATGGCACACTGCCATTGCCGGATGTGACGGTGACCCACACGCAGGCGATTGTCACACGCAGTCAGCGGTGGCAGCAGCAGGCCCTCAGTGCTGGTGAACTCCCAGGTAGAGAGGAGGGCCACACACCCCTCTCCGCACGCTTATTAAGGCGGCAACAGCGCAAGAAATTACTCGGCAGCAGCGGCAGCTCCTCATCCTATTAAAGAGGCAATAGAAGACCTGGATTGGAATTGACACGAAGAGCCGTTTGTAAAAAAGGGACTTTGTAAATATGTCCCACGGTGACATTCTCTTGTCCTTGTCCGCAACGGAAGGCGCGATGGTAACACTTGTGCCTCACAGCGACGGGCGCCTGGGTTCGATTCCCTACTTTGGCGAGCGTTTCCGTGTAAAGTTTGTACATTCGCACCTAGTTCTGCTTGGCTTTCCCCGGGTTATCTGATTTCTCGTACAGTTACAAAAGACGTACAATGTGCAATTAATGGTCTTGGTCAAATCATCCCCAATTATCAAAAATTACCTCCAAATTACTCAATTGGGATCACGCAAACAGCATCAACATCGCCTCCCTATTGCGAAAAAAAACTCGGCAGGTGCCTCTTGAAATAGAGCCTTGAGACTTGGTGAGGCGTCTCTGGGTAAACAAGCAGAATAAAACAAATGCATTCTCACGCGGAGTTTGGGAGATGTCACGTAATAATATTTGCATGCATGGTGCTTTGCATGCGTTTCACCTTGTCTCAAATCCCGTCATGCTTTTGCAAAATAAATTGCGGTTCAAACAAAGTGCACGTGTCGTGAAATGTACAAGAGAGAGGGTGCGCACACCACACCAGCCGGATAGTGTTGCAGGCTGTGCAAATGGCGGCGAACAGGCGAAGACACCGATTACCGCACAACGCGGTCTTCACTCGGTCGATCAGGTACTCATATAATTGTGATTGGTGTGGAGTTTGTAGTGTGGTCGTTCTACCAACTCTCCAATTGGCACGGTTGGCTACGTGCGGTTCGAGAGAAATTCAACTTACAACTCTTAGCGGACTCACCGGCGGCCGACCTTGGTGTTGTCGAAGATCAGCCCCGACCCGATCTCTGCAGTCTGCCGCCAACTCCGCACAAGCAAGGGTCTTCAGGACGCCGCCACCTTCCCTCGGCCAAGCGCGAGCGACGACGAAGCCGCCACAGCCTGATGACCGCTCGCTTCGTCTTCATGGTCAATTGAGACGGCCATTGCGTCATTTGCTCCACCAAAATCTCAAACATGCATTCCAGAAACACTGGCCTCTCGACACTGCTGATCTCTACTAACGGGTGAAAAAAAACACTTCACTGGTGCGTTTACAATCCTGATGTTTAACGCACGTGTGCGGCGTGCTGACCCAATTCAGATGCCATCGATAAACAAAAAAGGGTGCCACCACCAAGAGACAGGATGATTGAGGTGACCTTTTGGGCAATGGCCTTCTTTATAGCAATGTTTCTGTGCTATAAATAATGGCCACGTGTGTGTGTGCGCGCACTGGCAAAAGCTTAAATCGCTCCTAATTGCGCCTGCACGGTCACAAGTCAGATCTGGGAAGCATGTGGCAGGGTTGGGGTTGGATAGCGATTGCAGGGGTGACCACAGAGACCTGCACAGGAAAATGCCTGCTCCTTTAACACGTGGCAGTGCAGCGAAGGTCACTATTACACCTTCAATAGTGCTGTTTGTTGCTTGGCATTTTTGGGCCTGTACTAAAAAAAGCATACTCCATCTGCCCAAACCTCAAATCACGTACCTTTCAGCTGCCCCATGGAAAAAGCCTCAGCAGATCATGCACCCCGGCTCCTCCGCTATCCCTCTCTACTTATTCGCACCTCCGATTAGCACGGTTGGCTACATATGGTGCGAAAGAGGTTCAACTGAAGGCACTTTAATTACTACACGAGCTTTGGTGCAAGTGGCACGTTCACATTGCGGTGTTGGTTTGGACAGTGGCTCGGGTTAATTAATTCGGTGGTAAAATGACAGTTGCAGTTTTCTGCTGTTAAAATATTGCCCTCTGTACATTTTAAAGCGGTTCCATTCAGTCTTCTTCTTTCGTATGGCTGATGTAGATGCAGAGCAACAACTACGATTTCACATTCAGGTGGTCAAGCCAGACAACTGCGTCCAGAGCAGAGGAGTGTTTCTCTGTGACGTCTCCTTCGTATTTGGGGATCGGGCATTCAGTACAACTCGGTTCCGTATGAAATTAACTGTGGGCATTAAATAACTAAAACATAGAGCATACAATAACACACACGCTAAGGAACTTTATTACCATTCGTAAGGGCATGGACAAGCAATTTCAACACGCGACTTCTGCCGGTATTCAAAAGCACTCGCAGCCGGCACACGACTGTGCTCAAAAGTTCAAAGCACAGGGTAGAACGCATTCACATTACCAACGTAATGTCGCAGCAATAAAGTGCCAACTGTAAAAGGGAGAGTAGCGTTTACATTGTTCTGCTAACTATCATGATGATGCTAATTATGTTATTCAGAGTAAAGCTAACAGATCAAGAGTATTAACATGAGAAGTCTGTTAAACAGCATTTAAACAAAAAAACAGCCAAGTGCCACTTGATTAAAGAAACAACCGTTTGCATTATTGTTGTGAATAACGATTCTCACAGGATTAAGATAATTCACATTTACACATCTCTTTAATCAACATCTGAGCAAAAACCCTAACTATAACGCACCATTTTGCCAGAATAACGTTTCATTAAAACCGATTCTTGATTCATTGTAAAGTCATGAACATTTGCCAATTTTGCTTTTTTCCCAATCTGGAACCGGGGTCAATGTCTATGCAGGCAAAGGGAAATCGTCAGCGTGCATCGTGTAACCATTCGTGAGGGGCATCACGTGCACCAGTCACTTGTAAAAGTGGTGTCCATGGTCAGCCAGCCAAGCCTTTAAAGGCTCGAACAGACGGAAGACCTGTGGGTTCCATGTCTGGGTTGCACAGTGGATGGGGCAGCGCAGTTCACCCAATGCGTACGATCAGCTCGGGCTCCGCTGTAGGGATAGAACACTCGCCGTCTAACATCTTGACACAATTCCCTCAAAACGAACTTCAATCTCTCCGCCATCTCAAAAATTACTGTGCGTTGCCTTTTGTAGAGAAGAAATGAAAAGTGACTGAGAAAAGTTGGAAGCGTTACTGTTAGGGCATCCCTCACATTACAGAGTTGTGATACATATGTAATGAGAGAGCGCCATCCGGGGGGTGCCAGAGGGAAACGGGGACAGGCACCATTACGTAATCAGCATCCAATCCGAAGTAGGGATAATATCTGGGCCAGGGAGGATGGGCACAGTCACACAGAGAGGTTTTGGAACCATCGGGAAGTTTCCACGAGGGGGCGTGGCTAGAGGCGGAGCCTAGCTCCGCCGGGGTAAATATAAGGAGAGGGAGGGGAGGACTCCTGGTCAGTGTGGGAAGCCAGGGTTGCAGACCGCATTGCTGCTCATCCCCTCCTCGCCACGGGTAACGTGGCGGATCCTCCAACGGAGCTCACCCCTCCTTCTGGCACGCCGTCAGTCAGCGGCGAGGCCGGGAGAGTGGAGTGAGCCACGGGGGTACTCGGAGAGGGACGCCTCGTCTACGGTGTTGAGAAGAGAGAAATCACCCGGAGGGGGAGGGAGCGCAGCTGTGCCGTACTACCGTTAATAAAAGCACTCTGACCAGCAACGTCGTGGAAGTATTTTATTACACGTACGTAATCGCCAACGTGACTGAAACAGTGAAGCCTATTGTGCCGGTGGTGGGTAAAGGAGATAGAAATAATGCGACGTTTTCTACATTCATTTTTTGCTGCTAAAGTGTGAAATGCTTCCACAGGTCTCCTACCACTGCATAAAACCACCCCCACCACAGTGCCGTGGCTTTCTGGCTAAAACACTGAGTGGAATTGCCACTTTCAAATTGATAATTATCTCACAAGTTCATACTTGTATTTCAACAAGATGTGATTACTGAGCATGCCTGGCTATGTAACCGGGGCTGTTATGTCAGACTCCACTCAACCTTTCGTGGACACAGGCAAAACGAGCGGTGTTAAACAAGTTTGATACTTTTTGTTACTCACGTTTTGTCAAAATACAGCACTGTTGGGTCTGAATGTAATTACATACAGATTGAATACGGCTCAATTAATGCAAGCTTGGCCAAAGTGTCTGAAAAACGTCGTGACAGGTTTTGAAATAGTATATGTAATGTTACTGTATAGGCGCACAGGGCTTCACGGCAGGTAGCGAGGTGTGAGATAGGAGAGGTGTGAGACAGAACAATTCTGGCTATCGGCTGATGAGACTGGTTTTAATTACTGGAGAAACGTCGTACTCGAATTGTAAATGTTGTAGGTTTACTTTGCTGAACTAGTAAGTAATTGGCCTGTTTTGCTTACATGACAAACCTTACTAATTGCCTGTGTCGAGGTCGTAGTGGGTTTAATAACGCAGTTATACAGTGAGGGGAAAAAAGTATTTGATCACCTGCTGATTTTGTACGTTTGCCCACTGACAAAGAAATGATCAGTCTATAATTTTGATGGTAGGTTCATTTGAACAGTGAGAGACAGAATAACAACAACACAAATCCAGAAAAACGCATGTCAAAAATGTTATAAATTGATTTGCATTTTAATGAGGGAAATAAGTATTTGATTCCCTCTCAATCAGAAAGATTTCTGGCTCACAGGTGTCTTTTATACAAGGAACAAGCTGAGATTAGGAGCACACTCTTAAAGGGAGTGTTCCTAATCTCAGCTTGTTACCTATATAAAAGACACCTGTCCACAGAAGTAATCAATCAATCAGATTCCAAACTCTCCAACATGGCCAAGACCAAAGAGCTCTCCAAGGATGTCAGGGACAAGATTGTAGATCTACACAAGGCTGGAATGGGCTACAAGACCATTGCCAAGCAGCTTGGTGAGAAGGTGACAACAAATTTTGATTTAAAGCTTTCGTGACTGCAGTAATTCATATTCTTAGTTTTTTCGGTAAAGTCACGTTGAAGAGAAACAACAAAATAATAAAATGTATATAAAACAATAAAAAAATATCACGACGTTTCGACCATAACTCAAACGGTCGTCTTCAGGTGTGTTGGTTCGCATAAATTTATTTTTAAACGGCGCATTTATTTATTTATAAAAAACGTTAGCGCCACGCGCAACGATTTGGCAGTTTATTTAGGACTAGTCCATCTATATTCTGAAAAGAGGAGGGGGGAGACGAAATTTTTTATAATGTATGCTGTCTGAAAGCCACTGTAAGCGTGAACAATCAATTAAGACCTGAAATGGTTTATCAAATCTTTCCAATGATTGCTAAGATAGAATCCATCTTCTCGGTTGAAATTGTCTCTGTGCTTGTATATGTGGATAGCCTCATAAACGAATCTCTCATGGAAGCCAGATGGCTTACAAAGAACCTCTGTCTTGGAAAAGTCAATGGCATGTGAGCCTACTGAATTAGAACAATGATCTGCCACGGCCGAGGTGTTGGTCCTACCGTGTTTAAGGTCTGCTTTGTGTTCACGAATGCGGTCCGAGACATGGCGTTTGGTTTCTCCAATGTAACTACTACCACAGAGGCAACTTAGTTTGTAGACACCAGGGTATTGTATGTCCGGAATCACATCTTTTACAGACGGATCCAGATCACGGATTTTATGTAATGTGTTGAAACGGACCTGGATCTTGTGTTTATTCAAGATTTTGGAGATCTTTTTTGTGATCCCAGC